GCAACCCACTTGCCCTGGCCTCCCAGAATGCTAGTATTACAGGTGTGAGCCACCAGACCCAGCTCAGGATGGTTTCAGACACCCTAGTAGAAGACTGACTGTGTTTGGCAACAGTATTGGACACTGTGCAAAGTGAAATTTGCATAGATCAAATCAGACCAAAAAATTCTCTAAGATTTTAGTGTGATCCAATAACAGACACTTAATTTCACTTTTATAGATACAGTGTGTTAGCTGTACCTGATTGACCTAGATAATAATCCTGTTTTCTTAAACTAAAATAATTATTCTTTATAGCTATCACCCCAAATGATTGTTTCGGATAGTAACCCCTTTATAATTAAAGAACTAGGTATGTGGAAGTGAGGGGCATATTTTGCAACTGTGGGAGACAAGATAAGCCTTTTTTTCTTCTGGCCATGGAAAAATCCCAGGAGCAGTTGCTACACTGGATCTTCTCCATATGTCCTTTCCGATTCACTCTTCACCCTTCTGCATCCTCTTCTGTGTCCTATGAGGCTGTTCTTTCTATACTGAATCAACTCTTATTCTCTAACTCCCCCTGGGTTCAGCCAATGGGAGAAACAGCAGGCAATGAAAGGCAGGGGGAGAGGGAACACTGCACTTTGGCAGGTGCTGTATTTCTCCCTGGAAGTTCATAGGTCCTGTCAAGTGTTGTTTTTCCAGCTACAGCTCTGCTGATTCTTGAAAACTGTTCCTTCCTTTTACCCTGCCAGAACGGTAAGCACTTCCTGCTGTTGCTAGCCCTGGGTCCTTCTCTCTCCCCTGTTGGTTCACCTTAACCTTTCATATACCTGGCTAATGGGCCTTTCATTTGACTCTCTTCACCTCTTCAAAGTAGGCCATCTGTTCTCTATCCTGACAGCTGCTTTGACATTTTTCCAAGCCAGAATTATGTCTTCCATTGTACAGAACTTTTGGAATCTAATTTTTCATTTGTATGTTGTAGTAGGCATAAAATTCCTTATTCAGAAATCCTTGAATCTCCTTTCTTATTGAGCATAACTATGCATCCGAATGAACATTCTGATTTGGCCTTTCACTTTTCAAAAAGAAGTGTAACCTCCCTATCTGTCTTTTTGATTTCTAAATTATGTCTTGGGTCTATAATATAGAATACTCTTCGAGCCCTTGATGGGACTGGACCTTAAACTATTGCATTGTTCAACACTTCAATCAGGATTGGGTAAAGTATACAGAGTTTATATATTAATCTTTAATAGAAAAGGACTGTCAGATAAGTATATTTAGACCATATAGAATAACTTCTAAAGACTTGCTTTCAGGCTCAGTGCCTGTAGCTCATGCGGCTAAGGCGCCAGCCACATACACCAGAGCTGGCAGATTCGAATCCAGCCCAGGCCTGCCAAACAACAATGACAACTACAACCAAAATATAGCAATATGGAGGGTGCCTGTAGTCCCAGATACTTGGGAGGCTGAGGCAAGAGAATCACTTAAGCCCAAGTGTTGGAGGTTGCTATGAGTTGTGATGCCACAGCACTCTGCCCAGGGCGACAGCTTGAGGCTCTGTCTCAAAAGAAAAAAAAAAAAAATGACTTGCTTTCATTTGGGGGTGATCAAGGGGTTCTGATTTTATCAACGAATAATTTAAGAAACTGCCCTAGAAAATCTGATACTATGTTTGCTATAGTGACATAGTTTACCATATTCTCACTGTTGCCTATGGTTAGTACTTTGGGTCATTTTTCAGTGTCCTCCATAAAAAACTCAGTGTTTTCATCTCCTTTGTTCTGATCTCTCACTCACCAAGCAACATCCTGATTTCTGTATTAGTCTTTCTACGTAAAAAGAATATGCTGGTCATACAGATTTTAAGTAGTTCTCATAGTTAATAAAGAGATCTCTGAAAATTATCTACCTTCCCATGCTTTAACCACAGGAGGAAATGTGCTGATCGTTCTGTTTAAGAATTTCTGTTCCATGTCACAACAGTATTTCTTATTATAAATGATTCCAGTTCTATTTCAATCTCATGTACATTTTAGTTAATGTACATTTTAGTTAACCTATTTCTCAGAACCTGGTCATCTCCCTAAGCAATGAAAAGTAAATCTCTGGGCTTTGAAGTAGAGTGGCCTTTCCTAAGATAAAACACCTACTTCCTCCGGTTGTTAACATGCCCCATATAAAGTCGAGGTAAGAGGCTCATTTTAGAGCTAAATCTTAGGAAAAGCTCTGCTTATCCTGAGAACTGTGAAACAGATTATATTTCCCTTCCCTATTCTGCTCTCTCCTCTTCATAATCAGGAAGCTTAGCATCAACTGTGAAGCATCTTTTAGAAGTGATTTTCAAACTTTCCGTGTTATGAAATACTTTGAATGCAAGAATTTAGGGCAGCCAACTTGACTGAATTAAACAAGTTAAAATAACCCTAAATCAATTATTATACCACCTCAGAGGACCTAGATCCATTCATAATTAATTCACTATCCATATGATCCCCTTTCAGCATTGTAGCTGTTTGAGAATTATTCCTACCCAGACAATGATTTCTCATATAAGCACAAGGTAAATTTCTCTTACATTCCAGGGAACTACCATCTTCCTCTAAAGCCAGCTTAATGCTATGCTTTGCCATTACTTCTAATCTGAAGCAAATTGTAAAACCTGCCCCACTTCAACATTACATATGATAGACATAACATTTATTAAAAAAAAATTAAAGTTATACATTTGTAAAAACTTTGCTATATACTGTATCATCTCTACACTAAAGTCAATAAACACTATGTTGGCCCGACAAGGTGGCTCACACGTGTAATCAGAGGCGGAGGAGGTGGATTGCTTGAGCTCAAGAGTTCAAGACCAGCCTGAGCAGAGTCATCTCAACTAAAAATGGAAAAAACTAGCTGGGCATTGTGGCACATGCCTGTAGTCCCAGATATTCAGGAGGCTGAGACAAAAGGATCTGTTGAACTCTGAAGTGTGAGGTTGCTGTGAGCCAAGGCACTCTACCAGGGCGACAGAGTGAGAACTGATTTTAAAAAAAAAAATTCATTATGTTTTCAATTTCCTGATAGCAACTTACTGAAAAAATTACATTTGCTTTACTCCTAATGCTTTATTTTTATTCACATTATGCTATTTTGTCGCATTTATGCCTTGCCTTCTTAAATACCTCGTGGAATGAGACTAGGTGATCGGAAATATAAAATACAGAAAGGAAATCCTCTTTGGTGACTACTCTTTACTGCCCTCTGCAGGTAGAATTTAAAAATAGGGAGCCACAATCTACGGGCAGGAGATCCTCGCCCAATAGGAAGGTTTAAAATTTTTGAGAGGCTAACCATTACCAACCAGACTCCATCTATTCACAGAAAGGGTTTTTTCCCAACTTGTTAAAGCCCCCTCACTGTGGAAACATCTCTGGAAACCATATATCCTATTTTCAAAAGACACTCCCTATCTCCTGCAGCTATATACAAACAAGACACAAAAGTCTTTTCTTATTCTGAGTCATGACTAAGAATCTTTATGTCGAAGTTTCTTCCAGATTTGTACAATTCGGGTCTGACAGAGAGAGAGAGACAAGAGACTCAATAGTTATAATGACATAAAAATGCAGACATTAAGCAATTCAACTGCCTGTGCTTTGCAGACAAACGTCAACAAATATCAGAACTCCTGCAATGTAGCAATCAGAGATAATGTGAGATTTTGCTTTTTATTTTTACTTAAGAAGTAAAACTGGCTGCAAGATAACCAGCAAACAAGCAGTTTCAATTTTGTATACAAAGGACTGTTGATTATGCATGGATTACTTTCTCCAGTCACACTACTTTGTATGGAGAGCAACCATTGGTGATGTCATCTTCTTGAACAATAGACCTGAATGGATAGGCATATTGTGCCAACTGAGCTCAAATCATGACCTGAGTAATGCAATCAGGGGAACACTATTATTCCTCATCTAAACCTTCCAAGCCCATAGGAAAATTAATGCTAACCTGATAAATGTTACATGGGAAAGAAAACCAAACTCTTGTTTAATTTTATTTACATTTTAATATGTGCTTAACAGTAATGCATCACAGAATTTATGTTTATTATGTTCATTGAAATATGTTTTACTTTTGAGTAGGAGATCAAATAACTTATTAACAATCACGCTTTCTTAGATAAGAATGGTTTTAGCAAGGATATTTTGTAAAGAATAATCTCCAAATGTGTATTCACATAGCATACCAATACCTTTCCACAACTGTGCAATCAGAATTATAGTATTTCTGATAGAGGAGGTAGCATTGTTTTGATTGGAGTAAGGAATATTTTTTTTTTTTTTTTTTTTTTGAGACAGAGCCTCAAGCTGTCCCCCTGGGCAGAGTGCCGTGGCATTACAGCTCACAGCAACCTCCAACTCCTGGGCTCAAGCGAGTCTCCTGCCTCCGCCTCCCAAGTAGCTGGGACCACAGGCGCCCGCCACAACGCCCGGCTATTTTTTGGTTGCAGCCATCATTGTTGTTTGGCGGGTCCGGGCTGGGGATTCGAACCCGCCACCTTAGGTGTACGTGGCTGGCGCCTTAGCCGGTTGAGCTATAGGTGCCAAGCCGAGTAAGGAATATTTTGAAAGATGTATAGCTTTTAGTTCCATCTCTGCTTGCTCTGTGATTCGACTCATTCATTCTGTTTACTTATATTCATAATGGGCATAAAATGGACTTAAATTAGTAGATTTAAAATTTTTCAATGGCTAGAACTTAAGCTTTCTGAAATGAAAAATGTTTGCCCAAAAGCGTGTAGGGAAGAGATCTAATGAGTTTTTTTCATTCTTTAAAAGGCATGCACCTAGCTCCTTCTAAGGAATTGGGTGGCTTTTGCAGAGGCGCTTAGTATCACGTGCACTTGGAAGACCGCACATCCGGGACAGAAGGGAGCCTGCGTTCTAGGGGCGGAGCCTCCATCTCGCCCCGCCCCTTCTCCCTGCCAGCGCTCCAGGGGCGGAGCTTGCGCGGTGCATTGCCTGAAGCCGTCGGACCGCGGCGTGGGCCGGAGCCATGGCCGAGGGAGGTCGGGCGTTTCAGGCCCGGGCACTCCTGCAGCAGTGCCTACACGCCCGGCTGCAAGTTCGCCCAGCTGAGGGGGACGCCGCGGCCCAGTGGGTGGAGGTAACGTCGGCCTGGCAGCTCTCGTTATCCTTCCGCGTGAAGGGGTGGTCTTTTCCTTCTTGTCGGGATGACTAGTCTCACCTGCATCTCCCTTTGAGGCAGGCGGGCCAGCCGCTTGGTGCGCGGCCAGACCTCCAGCGAGTGGGCCTGACACTGTCCTCGGCGGCCTGCCTGGCTGCGCTTTGTCTCTTCCGTCCTGCATCACAGTACCCAACGCCAGACTTAGTCCCCCAGAGGAAGAGCGTGGAGGGACCAAGGGGATTTGAGTCTTCTTTGACCATCTGCTAATCTGAGCTTGGTGGGCTTTAGGCCTATTTAAAACTCATGGCCTGCGCTGCTCAGTTGAAGCTTGTTGGCTGCAAGAGTTCAAGACCTGCTTTGCCGTATGCCAGTCCCACATCGCGTCTAATTCCTCTCTAGGTTGACTGTACCTTGGTCTTAGCATAGAAATCAGATTTCCCAAGAAACAATTCTATTTCAGTTTGACTTATTTCGAACTGAAAAACAAAGACCACTACCTTCATAATAATGTTCCGTTGCTATCAAACACATTTTCTTTAAATAATTTTTTAGTCACATTGACAACATTTCCAATAAATTTAGAACATTTTTGTCAATATGAGTTCCTTCTGCTTTCATACTTACCTTTTTAAGAAAGTCTGGCCACACACCATACAAAAATAAAATGTTCTTATGAGTAAGTTGAAATGTAAGAAAAAAACGAGTTCCTAATTATGACTTTTGAAGATACTCAGAAACTTACTGTAGCAGAATCTTACTCACTTATCTCTGCTGAATTGGGTCCCAGCTCTAGTATTACTAACACAATCAATCATTATTTTGAATACTACTCAGGGGTGATTGTTGCTAAATCAGCATGTTACCCAATGCTAATTTGGAAATGTTCATAAGCATAAAAATCCCTACATTGTCACCTTTTCTCAGAAATCCATTTTTATTATTTTTGTTATTTTTGTTGAAGTCTTGATTTCTCTTCCATTTTGGAATTCTATTATTCGTATATTTGCAGCTCTACCTACAGAATTAACCTATTTTACAGTTGCCTCCTGACACTCTGCATTCCAAACTATCATTCAGGTTCTTTCCATGCTTTTTTATCTTTTTAATGTTCTCCATCTTATGCAAAATCACAGCTATTTTATTGCAGCCTTCCAAACTATCAGTGTGTGTTTATAAACTTTAACAGCTATTTTTAAAGGATTTCCCTTTCACTCCTACACACAACTAAATTAGTGGGCTAAAAGACTTGACAAGTTAGGCGGTGAGAAAGTATAAATGCTCTCCTTTCTCACACATCCTCTGCCCTGTTCTGTTATTAAAAGCTCTTAGTTTTTTAGCAAGAGTTTTAATTATCAGAAGATTTGAAGGTCCTTTCTTTGTTCTTGGCTTCATCCATTTAGAACTTTGCTTTCACAGACTAATGTTTTTCTTCCTGGGAAGTGAAATTTTTTAAGCTATGCTGAGAATTATCTGTACTTTTGTGCATAATTTGAAATGTTTTGTACCAAACAAGAAGCTACAAGGAAAGTGATTTTGACTTAAAGAGAGGAATCTGTAGATCACAACTTAAGATCTATTATTGGAATAAGTGAAAAGAAAATGCCTGAATGAAGAGGTAATATGGTAAGCAGAAAGAAAAGATGTCTATTTCTGCAAATAATTAGGTATTTAATTCCGACATTGCAAGTGTCCAGATATGAACATGCTTAAGATTTCAGCTCATAGTGAAGTATAGTGTCTCATGCTTGTAATCCAAGCACTTTGGATGGCTGAGACAGGAGGATCAGTTGAACCCATGAGTTTGAGACCAGCCTGGGCTAAATAGCAAGACCCTGTCTCTACAGAAAAATAAAGTTAGCCAGGCACGGTGGTGTACACCTGTAGTCCCAGCTATTCAGCAGACTGAGGTGGGAGGATCTCTTGAGCCTAGAAGTTCAAGGTTACAGTGAGCTGTGATTACACCACTACACTCTTTAAAAAAAAGATTTTTACCTTGTACTAAAGACAGTACCAGTGGAGAGGCCTGTAATAGTGCAGAACTTGACAGCTCCTTATTTGGGGTATATATTGGAGGTCCTTGCCAATTGTTCCAGCAGCACAATTGCACTTTTAAAAAATGACTTCTTTACAGCCAGGTGAGGTAGCTCAAAGGCCAGGCACAATGACTCACACCTGTAATCCTAGCACCCTGGGAGGCTGAGGTGGGTGGATCTTTGGAACTCAGGAGTTTGGGACCACCGTGAGCAAGAGCAGAACCCTGTCTTTACTAAAAATAGAAAACTAGCCAAGTGTTGGGGGGAGTGCCTATAGTCCTAGCTACGTGGGAGGCTGAGGCAAGAGGATCACCTGAGACCTAGAGTTTAAGGTTGCTATGAGCCATGACACCATGACACTCTACCCAGGGTGACTCTCAAAAGTAAAAAGAAAGATTGAAGGCGTTTGGGGTCACCAGATTGAGGGGGTCTTGGTGCAAGGAATGAAGAGGCTTGACGTAAAGTCTGTGTCTGTCGGGGGACCGAGAAGCTCGGAGAGGAGCCCTCCTGAGTAAACCCTGGGTCCCTATTTATTGTCATAAAAATGGGAAAAAGTAGACAAACGCTGCTTGCCCAGCATTAGCACTGATTAGGGAGAACATGGAGAAGGTCAGATAGAACATCCACCTTTGTTTTTGCAAAACTGCAGACATTGAGCACAACCTCAGCCTCCAGTGTCTAGAGCCCTTTGGAATCTAGAGAATCTTTACCATAACCATTAGGCCTGGTATTGCCACACCTCACAGATACCTTCTCCCTTGAAGGCCAGTTTTCTGATCTCCTGCATGCACACTCACACATGTCATTGTGAGATTCTCCAGATCTCTCAAGCAGCAGGTGAATCTTATGCTAAAGATCAGGACTCTGTTTCCCCTATAAAAGATTTATTTTCCAGGTAAATCAAGTATGAGCACAGGGCTTTATTTACATTTACATAGAATACTACTTAGATATCACTGTGCCTGGAAGATATACCCAAATGTTAGTGCAATCAATAAATAGAGTCTTTATCACATACAAAATAGTCTGTAAAGTGCTTTGAAGGTTAAAATGTGAAATAAATTGTACCTCTGCCTTTAACTATATTTTTATGTGGTTACTTAATGAACACTTGTATAGCCCTTACTATGACCTAGGCACTGTTTTAAGGAGCTTGTAAATATATATATATATATATATATTTTTTTTTTTTTTTTTTGGAGACAATCTCACTTTATTGCCCTTGGTAGAGTGCGGTGGTATCATAATTCACAGCAACCTCAAACTCTTGGGCTCAAGCGATTCTCTTGTCTCAGCCTACCAAGTAGCTGGGACTACAGGTGCCTGCCACAATAGCCATTATTTTTAGAGATGAGGTCTAGCTCTAGCACAGGCTGGTCTGGAACCTGTGAGCTCAGGCAGTCCACCTGCCTCGGCCTCCCAGAGTGTGAGGATTACAGGCATGAGTCACTGTGCCCAGCTGAGTTTACAAATATTATCTAACTTAATCTACCTAATAACTTCTGCAGTCAGAGAGGTGGATTTAAAATCCACAGAATCAAAAATCTAGGCTGGGTATGGTAGCTCACGGCCGTAATCCTAGCACTCTGGAAGGATGACACAGGTGGATAGCTTGAGCTCATGAGTTCAAGACCAGTCTGAGCAAAAAGTGAGACCCTGTCTCTACTAAAAATAGAAAAAAACTGAGGCAAGAGGATCGCTTGAGCCTAAGAGTTGGTGGTTGCTGTGAGCTATGATACCATAGCACTCTCCCCAGGGTGACAGCTTGAGACTCTGTCTTAAAAAAAAAAAAAAAACAAGCAGCAGAATCAAAGCCTCTTATAAGTGTCTTTTTTATGTAGTCTCTGTCCTACAAGAGCTAAACAAGAAATATGCAAGTCATTATATAAAATAAGTTTATATTCCTGATCTTGTAATATAGATCCTAAATGTAATTTTCAAGGCCTAATCATGTTCATTAATGCATTAGTGACGGTAACAAAGAAGAATTGGACAGTTTCCTGGAGTTTATAAAAATAGAATCAGGCCCTTATTTTCATTATCTACAAGTAAATAGATTAGGGAGAATAAAGAGTGATGATGTCAAAAGTTATCAGTCACACTGTTGCTCATTCATCAGCCATATCTTGTATAAGGTAAATTCATTTGGTATTGAGTAAATGGGGCCCTGCAGATTAGACATTTCTAAATCTGTCAGCCGATTTTTCTAGGAGGAGGCTTTTACTAGTCCTAAGTTTTTGATTAGAATTGTTTGGAGGGGCCAGGCACAGTGGCTCACGCCTGTAATCTCAACACCCTGAGAGGCCAAGGCAGGTGGATTGCCTGAGCTCAGGAGTTCAAGACCAGCCTCAGCAAGAGTGAGACCTCCATCTCTAAAATTAAAAATAGTTGGGTGTTGTGGCAGGCGCCTGTAGTCGTAGCTACTCAGGAGGCTGAGGCAAGAAAATTGCTTGACCCCAAGAGTCTGAAGTTGCTGTGTTTTGTGATGCCACTGCACTCTATGGAGGGTAACAAAGTGATACTCTGTCTCAAAAAAAAAAAAATAGTGTTTGAAGGTATAATTTGTCTTTGATTAAAACTTGAAAAAATTTAAAAACTTGAAAAAAATCACATTTGATTTTAATGAAATCAAATCTGGGGTGCACATGGTGGCTTACGTCTGTAATCCTAGCACTTTGGGAGACTGAGGCAGGAGGTTCACTTGAGGCCAGGAGTTTGAGATCAGCCTGAGCAAGAGTGAGACTGCATCTCTACGAAAAAATAGAAAAATTAGCCTGCTGTGGTCCCAGCTGTACACCTGGAGTCCCAACTACTTGGGAGGCTAAGGCAGGAGGATCATGATCCCCGGAATTTGAGGTTGCAGTGAGCTATGCTGATGCTACTGCACTCCACCCTGGAGAAAGATAGTAGAAATCTAATCTATATTAAAACTTATTTCCTTCCCTTGCTTTTAACCTCAGTAACAGTTATGAAATTTTATTCACTTAGTTCTATATCTCTGTATGGTTTTTTTCCCCTCATCTGAGTTTACTCTGGTGATTTCTTGTAGATTCAGAAAGGATTAGTGATCTACGTGTGTTTTTTCAAGGGAGCTGATAAAGAACTTCTTCCCAAAATGGGTATGTGTTTGACTTGTTTTTTCTTTTTTAAGGGAAAGCACAGAAATAGATAAATGAACCAGAAGGGGCAAGAAGCACCACTGTATTTTCCCTTTATTTTTGGCTGACATTAATAATTGTACATACTTACAGGATACAGAGTGATACTCCAATATGTGTATGCAATGTATAATGACCAATTTGGGGTAATTAGCATATGTATCATTTCTTTGTGTTGTGAACATTTAAAATCCTCTTTTAGCTCATGATCACTCTACAGTACCGCAGAGCTACAGAACTCTTTCCTTCTGTCAAACTGTAATTTTGTATCCATTACCAATTTCTCCCCATCCTAAGAAGCACAATCTTAAATTGTACTGGTATGTAAGTTATTAATTACTTAACTCTCGTCTAGTGTTGTTGGCTGTAGTTATTTGCCTATTTGAAGTTTAAGCAATTATGGTAGAATTCTTTTAAAACATCTGTATCATTGCAGATGTCTTATAGATTGATGTAGAGGGTGGCACCTGTGGCTCACTGAGTAGGGCACTGGCCCCATTTACCAAGGGTGGTGGGTTCAAACCTGGCCCCTGCCAAACTGCAACAAAAAAATAGCCGGGCGTTGTGGTGGGCACCTGTAGTCCCAGCTACCTGGGAGGCTGAGGCAAAAGAATCACCTAAGCTCAAGAGCTGGAGGTTGCTGTGAGCTGTGACGCCATGGCACTCCACCGAGGGTGACAAAGTAAGACTCTGTCTCTTAAAAAAAAAGAAATAGATTGATGTAGAAGAGTGTATACACAGGTACACACAGTGCATGTCAGCCAAGGATACAGTAACTTTATTGGAAGCAAGGTAGCCACATAGGGAGAAATAGATGCTATTGGAAGAAACAGATGTCACATTTAATCTCATTTCCCTTATCTCCTGGAGTCCCTAACAGACGCAGTAGATGACATTGTGTGTACAAGGTGTAGGTCCCATCAAATCTGTTCAATTCAGGCTTACATTATTATGAAATAGTTTGCATTAACCATTTATGCACTTCTTTGTTAGAAATATGTATAAAATAAAAGGTTCTCCTGGTTCTTGTACCAAACTCAGGATCATTACAGCCACACCTCCTCTAAGGACACAGAAAGCCCAGTCCATGTTCGGGGATCCCTGAACAATGATTTACCCATATACAGCTTTCTAGTATTCTAGACAGTCTAGTACTCTAGACAGCTTTCTAGTATTGTATATTCCTTGTGATAATTACATAGGCTATACTAATAATAATTACATTAGATATACTAAATCAGTTCATACACTGTCTCATGTATGTATAGCGGATTTAACAATTGTGTCCAAAAAACAAGCAAACCTGAAATAATGGAGGTATCTTTAAGGTTGGGGATAGTTTATATTCTCTTCATTACTAAAGGACAGTACCCATTAGTTGGATTAGTAAGAAATATAAATTATACAAATGGATAGTTGAAGCTTACAAAAGTTAACCTAGAGATTCAAAGGCAAATAGCCCAATGAGACCAGCTTGGACAAAAGGCAATTTGATACTAATATGTATATATTAAACATGTGTGACCACTTTAAACAGGAACGATGATAGATATAGATGGAAAGCCAGTAACAATAATTATTCAAAATTTGAACTTAGAGGATAATAAGGAAACTTTGATAATTTTATTTTTTATTTTTTTTTTTTGAAACTTTGATAATTTTAAGAAGAAAATGAAATGAGGGCTCTGTAAAGGATGATTTGACAGATCTGAATTTTAGGGTATTAGACATTCTTTCCATGTTCCTAAATTAATATTTGGTCTTGGATTAAATCATTATTGGTCATAAAAATGTAGAAATCTTCAAAAACAGGAAGAAAATTTTTATCATTCTAATTTAAGATTGATTTCCTAGAGTTGTCTCACAGAGTCTTAAATGGATCTTAATCTATGTTGGATGAAATAAGGCTACCAAATCTCTGCTGCATTTTGTGTGACTAAATCCAGCGTGCTTCCGTATGCTTTTGTGAGTTCACTTTAAATACATGCATATGATTACGGTAGATTAAAAACCCTGCAGAGATTCACCTTAACGCTTTCAGTGGGTAGTCCAACACAAAGCTTTATATGTCATGATGCTCAGTTAAGAAAGATATGACTCTAGGGTCCAGTGAGATGGTTCACACCTGTAATCCTAGCATTCTGGGAGGCCAAACCGGGTGGACTGCCTGAGCTCACAGGTTCAAGACCAGCCTGAGCCCAAGGAGACCAGCCTGAGAGCAAGACCCCATCTCTAAAAATAGCCAGGGGTTGTGGCGCTTGCCTGTAGTCCAGCTACTTGGGAGGCTGAGGCAAGGGGATTGCTTGAGCCCGAGAGTTTGAGGTTGCTATGAGTGCAGCGGCACTCTACCATGGGCTACAAAATGAGACACTGTCTTTAAAAAAAAAAAGATACTACTCTTAAGAATCACATTTTGCTGATTTGAGTTTTCTTTTTTTTTTTTTTTGAGACAGAGTGATTTGAGTCTTAAGCACAATATTCTATTATTGATAGTGTTAGCTTGTACTTCTATTAAAGCCAGAAAAGTAACTCAATGTGATAAAATTTTCTTAAACCCCACCTCATGCTATTACACGGACTCAGATATTTCCAATCAAATCATATTCCCTTGGGAACATAACAACCAATTGTAGTCACAATGTCTGAAATATCATAGCTAACATAGAGAATCTTCCTTAATTCAGATTTAATATTGAACTGAGATCCAGGGACCTATCAAAACTTCATTTCCCACAGATATCGTTAGAAATACTTGATTGTAACCTGTCTTAGGATCTTTGAGTTTCCCCTCATGCCATTGATTCATTGTTTCATTTTAATTCTACTTACTGCTATTTGTATTTGTATTATATTTATTTGTATACCAATAGTATTAATTGAATTCTCAGTTATATCCAGTAGAGGGAGATATATGGAAGTATACTAAATAGTAGTATTATCTTTCAGTCCTGTTACTGCAAAATTGCTTACTTAGATATCATTAGCAGTAAGCCTAGATAGCTAGACACTGATTTCTATTAGAAAGAGACTTAACTGGAGAGTTAAGTAAGTTAAGTTTCCTTGGAGGCAGTCGAGGAGTGCTGGCTAGATAGCAAAGTCCTATTTATAATAGAGAAACTGGAGGTATTTAAAAATAGATCTTAGTTAAGTGAAAATTGATGACACTTAACAAATAGCTTAGGAATTCATCTGGATGTTTGCCTTGGCAGGTTTTTACCAGGCTAATTCCATGACTTGTAGAGTGGGGCAACCATACTGAATCCTTACTAATACTTGCTGCAGACCACATACTAATGGGAGGTATTAACTACCCCAACATAAAGCATACCTTTTGAAGCCTGATTTTGGGGCAGGAGTATGAGGTTTATATAGTTTCTTTTACCATTTGTCTTCTCAGGACTGTGCTTTGCAAGAAATCATTTATATCTTTATAGAGGTAGGTCAACCCTAACTAAGTCCATTTATATTAGACACTTCCTTTGTTTATTGTTTTGAAATGGTTAATGTTGAGGTGTAAAAGTTTTCTAAGTTAGGCTTTTACAAAGATATTTGTGGTAGTTTTGACATTTCTTACTAGCTATAAATAATCTCATAAATGATATAAAAATAATACCACCATGTTTTCTTACATGTATAGTGCCAGTAGCTCTCTATCTTCTAATTTACTTTTTCAGTTATAACAATGAATTTCTGATGGTTCTTGCTTTCATCTTCACTCTTTACCCATGGATTATATTTGTAAAATGATTAGTTCATGTTAATATTGCCTTTAAGGTTATGAAACCTTAGCCATAAGGTTGCATAAACCAAATCAGCTGGTTTTTAATGGGATTGAACCAGGAACCTTTATCTGAGCTTAAAACTCTAAGCAACTAAGTTTAAAATAATACATATACTAACGTGTTTATTTATATTCTGTTAAAAAGCAGAATTTGGTGTGAGGAGGATTTATCATGGTCTTTTTCCAGTGGGATTTGCTTATGAAACAGAAGGATCAGAGAAGCAAAATCTTCTCATATATTCCTCCAAGGCAATGATATTTGCTTTATTTTTCATGCTTAGATTATTTAGCTTAGTGGAGCAGTTTTTAAAATCCAAATAGAGACTTTGGGTTAGAAGCATGAGCTGTCAAACTGAGTTTTAAACATGAGCTTTGCTGACTTAAAAAATTGATGGTTTTCTTCGTGTTTGTTTTTCACTTCAAAATGTTTTGCCTTTCTTCCCCACCCAGTTAATACACTGTTAAATGTGAAATTAAGCGAGACAGAAAATGGCAAGCACGTCTCTATCTTGGATCTGCCTGGCGACATCCTTATCATCCCTCAAGCCACCCTTGGGGGAAGAGTAAAAGGAAGAAACATGCAGTATCACTCTAACTCTGGAAAAGAAGAAGGATTAGAACTTTATTCTCAATTTGTAACTCTATGTGAAAAAGAAATAGCTGCTAACAGCAAGTGTGCTGAAGCTGGGGTTGTAGTGGAACATGGCACTTACGGGAACAGGCAGGTGCTAAAGCTGGATACCAATGGACCATATACACACTTAATTGAGTTTTGAAAATTAAAAACTAGTTTCTACAGCTGTTTCCTGACACTAAACGATCCGAACTATGTTTTTTTTCCTCTTCATCTTGAATACACTAATCTGCAGCACTTGTAGGTAAGAAAATCCTTGGTCCCATATGTAACTCTGTAACTTGTAATAGTTGACCTTGCCATGGTCTGGTAACCTCTGATCTCGGTTACCTTTTGTTCTGCTTTCTTCTGCCCTTCCACTTGAAATTCTGAAAAGGGCTGTCTATTCACTTCATAATAATTAAGAAAATGTTCTTAGCTATATTTTTTAAATTAATAGACATTTTAAATTTTCGCAGTGAAGAAATTCGTGCTAGCCAAGGAAAGACATTTATTCTATCAAGTTTGTGTAGTATGTAAAAAGAATAACTATTTGTATTAAAATTAGGTAAAATCTAGCTCAAACCAATTATAATTTTGTTAACTTTACTATTTACATTTTCTATATTTTGAATGAAACAATGTGATTCATCATTCCTTTTAATAATATAGATGAAAATGTAACATAGAAATGTTTTTGTGCATTATTTTACTTTCCAAGGACATACAGATACTTTACATTATTTTAGAATCTTTAGTTAACATAGGAACAAAAAGTAGGGGATTAGAATTTGTTTTTATTGGGTGGCACCTGTGGCTCAGTGGGCAGGGTGCTGGCCCCAGCCAAACTGCAACAAAAAATAGCCAGGCACTTTGGTGAGTGCCTATAGTCCCAGCTACTGGGAGGCTGAAAGAGAATCACCTAAGCCCAGGAGTTGGAGGTTGCTATGAGCTGTAATGTCACAGCACTCTACTGAGGGTGATAAAGTGAAACTCTGACTCTAAAAAAAGAAGAAGTTGTTTTTATTAAACATACGCACAGAGATGGGTTAATGTTCTGTTTCAGTTTTTACCAAAACCATGTGTGTCTCACTTTACATCTTTGGGATTTTTTTGTTTTGTTTTGTTTTTTTCCTTTTCAGACTGAGTCTCATTATGTTGCCAAGGGTGGTCTCAAACCACCTCTGCCTCCTGAGTAGCTGGGATTACAGGTGTATACTATATCTTTGGTTTTTAAAGAACTAGTTCATAAAATTAGTGTTAGTTCATAAATCTTTTAGGCAGTCCTTTTCCTGTTGAATTAAATTATTGTAAGAGGAAGAAAAAGAGAAGTTTTCTATAAGAATAGTTTGAAAACAAATTGAGTATCAATTCTCAAATTATCTCCTTGATGATTTGGAGCCTGGGCCAATTTTTCTGAATTAGTGAATGTTGTGGAATGGATATTTGTACCTCGCCCTGAAATTTATAGGTTGAAGCCCTAACCCCCAATGTGATGGTATTTGGAGATGGAGCCTTTGGGAGGTAATTGGGGTTAGATGAGGTCATGAGGTGGGGCCCTTATGATGAGACTAGTAAGAAAGGAGCCACCAGGGAGCTTGCTTTCCCCACTACACCCCAGGCCACCTTGTGAAGGCACAGTGAGAGGGTGGCTGTCTATAAGCCAGAAGACATCTAGCACCAGAAACTGACCGTGCTGGCACCTTGATCTTGAACTTCTAGCTTCCAAAACTATGAGAAAATAAATTTCTGCTGTTTAAGCTACCCAAGTTAAGGTATTTTGTTATAGTAAAAGTGTGATATAAAATAGGTAATAAGATAAAATTTTCTTTTTAGAGAGACCAAAGAGTTTCACTTTGTCACCCTCATTAGAGTGCTGTAGCATTATAGCTCACAGCAACCTCCAGCTCTTGGGCTTAGGCGATTTTCTTGCCTCAGCCTCCCGAGTAGCTGGGACTACAGGCGCCCACCACAATGCCCCTGGCTGGGGCCAGGTTTGAATGCCACCCTTGCCCTACTCACTGAGCCATAGGTGCTGCCCAATAATAAGATAAACTTTTCAAAGGCAAGAGAGATATACAGTAAGTTGAAAGAATAAATGAGTCAATAAGAGGTAGTGCTCTGTTTTTGAAAATGCCTCTGACCTGATTTAAAAGGGCATTTTTTAGGAGTGGAAACCAAATAATATTTATAATAACCAAAAAGGTGAAGAAATTAATATCCTAAGTAGCTGCTAAAAATGCCTTTGTGTCTCATAATTTCTTTAGATCTAACATACTTAAATTTTTATTATCACACACAAAAAAATCCTACTTTTTCTATACCCTTCCTGTACTATTCTATTTTAGAACTTAGGAATCAATAACTGACTTGATAATGGGTTCCTTGTCCTTAATTTTTGCTTTATTGACTCACAATACACTTATTGAAATGTAATAAACTATTCATAAACTTGCAAACCCCAGTTTTCTCAAAGGTTCTCCCAAGAAGTATATTTGACTTTCAAAAAGATTTTGTTGCCTTTTTTAAATCATTTTGATTTTATGTCTAAGTGAAATGCTGACTCATAGGCCTAGATTGTTGTTTTACGGTTCAATACTCCTTAAAACAGTTGCTTGAGGTGCTTATGGAGAATAGCAATTTCAAGTACTTGAAGAGTTATTAAGCAGAAGGTGATGACCAACTTTGCTTAATTTCCAGGAAGGCTGCAAGAAGTTAAAAGGCAAGACAAATGGTGGATATGAAAATAACTATACCTTGGCTTTCTTTAGCTCTTTTTGTCCAAGGTGCTCAAAGAACCTTCAGTATTTTATCTTCTCTCTCTATATATATATACATATACATATACATTATACATTCTATATATATGTATATATATAGAGACTATTTTATAGATGACTATTTTATAGGATACATAATGACTATTTTTATATATTCTATTATATATATGTTTATGTGTATAGTATATATATAATGACTGTTTTTATATATGCTATTATATATATATACATACACATATAATGTCAATAGTGCTATGGAAAGACAATGTTTAAATAATTTTCGCAAAGTCATACAATAGGGAGGAATAATTTCCATTTTTTGTTTTGTTTTGTTTTTAGAGACAGAGTCTCACTTTGTCACCCTTGGTAGAGTGCCGTGGCATCACAGCTCACAGCAACCTCCAGCTCTTGGACTTAGGCAATTCTCTTGCCTCAGCCTCCAGAGTAGCTGGGTCTATAGGTGCCCACCCCAATGCCCAGCTATTTTTTTGTTGCAGTTTGGCCGGGGCCAGGATTGAACCCGCCACCCTTTATATATGGAGCCAGCGCTCTACTCACTGAGCCACAGGCACCACCAATTTCTGTCTTTTGGGAAATTCACTCTCTTGTAAGAGTTGTTAAAATAGAAGTAATTTTTATCTTCTTGGAAATCAACTCTTTTGTACTGAGAGTTGTTAAAATAGAAATTGGTCTTGATAAAGGCTTAGCATCTCTGAGTGTAGATCACTTGAGAAAAAATAGTCAATAAACTGGTTTATTTACTACATTAAGTGCAGGCAGATTTGTACCTAATTTAGGTGCCTTCTGCTTCTGTTATTCTAAAATTTTAGAATATTTCAAATAGAGTATCTAAACAAGGTACTATTTTTGTCAATTTAGAAACCTGGATTCAATTATAGCATATGCTATGTATAAAACCCACTGGGGGGAGGAGGTTAAAAACCTACCTATCAGGTTTAAGGAACACTATTCAGGTGATGGGCACACTAAAAGGCCTAACTTAAGCATTGTAAAGGTATCCATGTAACAAAAACATGTACTACTGTGTTTCCCCGAAAATAAGACACCATCTTACATTTATTTTTTCTGAAGAAGACATACTAGGGCTTATTTTCAGGGGATGTCTTATTTTTATTAAGTATAATACAACAATCTACATTTATTAAAATACTGTTAAGTCATCTTCTGGAACCTGACGGGGGAGCCAACCTTGTTGGTGGGGCTGGCGCTAGTGATGCATGAACTCCTTTCCCCTAGCTATTCTCACATGTGCAATAGGATGCCCGCAACTGCGGTTACCACACGCGCACTTGCGCAAGTGTGAATGCCTGGGAGAAAGGAGCTGTGGCAGATAAAAGGTATTGTAGTCTTCCTTACTGCTCTGCACCGAAATGCATGGTGTGGCTATGCAGTGTATCATAGCCACACCCATCGCTAGGTCTTATTATCGGGGTAGGGCTTAATTTAACAAATGCATAGAAATCCTGCTAGGGCTTCATTTTGGGGTAGGTCTTATTTTCAGGGAAATGCGGTACCTTAATATTTTGAAATTTTAAAAACTATAATGGGTTGGACATGGTGGCTCACTCCTATAATCCTAGCACTGTGAGAGGCCAAAGCTAGAAGATCCTTAAGCTCAGGAGTTCAAGATGAGCCTGAGCAAGAGCGAGAGAGACCCCCATTTCAATTAGAAACAGAAAAATTAGCCAGGTGTTGTGGTGGATGCCTGTAGTTCCAGCTACTCAGAAGACTGAAGCAGGAGGATCACTTGAACCCAGGGAGTTTGAGGTTGCTGTGAGGTAGACTGATACCACAGTACTCTAGCCTGGGCAACAGGGTGAGACTCTGTCTCAACAAAACAAACCTACAATGGACATGGTTTATACCTTGAATACTTTCATATAAAGTAAAATGAAATATGCTGGGCAGCGCTGTGGCTCAAAGGAGTAGGGCGCCAGCCCCATATATAGGAGGTAGCAGGTTCAAACCCGGCTCCAGCCAAAAACTACAAAAAAAAAAATAATAAAATGAAATATGCTTTTACCAATCCTTTATTTATGTCATTAAAGACGGCATATCATTTATGAATGATATCTGTAGTAATAATAATTTGTTGACTCTGTAGTGAAAGAACTAAATTTATTAAAGATCACGATCAAATATTATAGACTCTTCTATGCCTCTTGTTTTAGAGAATAAGAATTTACATTGATGTTATAAGGGAACCAAGTCATGTCACATTTTTGTTATAGCTGAATATATAGCAAAAAATGATAATGATAGCCCAATGTATTTAGAAATATGTATTAACTTGCTAAAATAAAAAAATAAGACTTAGTTTCTGAAAGGGGAGAACAACTAGAAAAATAATATTTTCATTCTGAAACCACACCCTGGTGATAACTTTAAACTGTTATTTTGATAGTCTCCTAGTTATTCTCCCTATCTCCTATTTCTTCTATTTCTAAACTTTTCCTGTAGACCATCTCCAAGGTAATGTTTCTAGAACATGTCTTTCAATATGACATTACACTGCTTAGAAATCTTAATAACTTCTCTTTATCTACAGAACAAAGTCTAATCTGGAGGTTGACACCAAGGTTCTCCATACTCCCTAGGAGTGAGTGAAATCACTCAGGAAGAACTATAAAGAACTAA